TCTGCACCTTGTTGTCAATGGTTTAAGCATGTTGTTAAAATGCTGAAATGTCACTTGGGGAGAGGAAGAATATAAAGTAATGAGATGGTGATATGTATGATATTGGAACAGCGAAATCAGCAGTCATGTGCTAGAGTCTATAAAGACAGAACACGCTGTACCTGAAAGAGATGTATTTGCCCAGAAACGTAAAATGTACCATAGTGTAAATAGAGTAGATTTGTAGAAACCCACCAGAGTCAGATTTTAGCCATTCTTCAGTAAAAAGAGATCTTCCCAACAGAGAACAGGTAACACCTGAACAGACATCTAAACATTATTAGACGTGGAATCATTCTGGAAATCTGTGATAAAAGCATGAAGTACTCAACTTGCCTGACAAGTTTTGTGGATTGTGAAAGAAAGTTAACATTTCGGTCAAAGAAGACTTAGAAGTAATCATACACATCTCAACACTGTAGCTCAGTTTCTCTCTCCACAGATGCTGCCAGACCTGCTCAGCATTTCCAGCACTTTCTGGTCTTGTTACATTTTTTTTTCTCTGATGGTCTGTTTCACAAGGTTACTATCCTTTTTATATTGATCCCAGGGTTGGAAAGGTTTTACTGGGACGGAGGCAAAGACGAGGACTGAGCTGGACAGGTTTCTACAATACCCACTGCGAAGGCAACAAGACAAAATAAGAAATTTCTAGTTTTGGACCTCAGCTTCTGAATGGGATTCCTCATCTGGCAGAAAAACAGGCTTCTGTGGCTTGCCATTCTTCCAGTTTAGGTCTGTGTTACCTCTGGGGTAAAATATAACCAAAAAGGTTGCTGGCTATTTAGTGTAAACTGGCTCTCAATTGAAACACGCTCTCTGTCACCACCCCAAACATTTAGGTTGAGTCAATAAATTATGACATTTCATCTCCATGCTGTAATTTCTGCTTCCTAGACCTGAACTAAGGCATTTCCAACAACATTATTAAAGATGCAGAACTAGAAATTCTAATGGCTCTTGGTGGAGATAAATTCATAGATGCATTTCCCCTAGGGAAAGATATCAATTATATTCAATCTTTAGATGTCCAGTATCCTCTACATACAGTATTAAGACAGAAACCTTTGCACGTTTTATCGTTTCAGCAAGAACAAGACCTTTGTCTTTGGAATTCCCTTCCTTAAAAGGCAGTGGATGCAGAATCTTTAAATATCTTTTAAGGCAGAGGGAGATAGATTTGTGATTACCAAAGGGATGCAAGATGGATAGGGTGAAGAGCTAAGGTAGGGGGAGTCCAAACTAGAGGGCATAGGTTTAAGGTGAGAAAGGAAAGGTTTATAAAGGACCTGAGGGGTAACCTTTTCACTCAGAGGGTGCTGCCAAAGGAAGTGGTGAAGGCTGGTACAATCGCAACATTTAAAAGGCATCTGAATGGGTACATGAATAGGAAGGATTTAGAGGGATACCGGCCAAACACTGGCAACTGGAAATAGATTAATTTAGGATATCTGGTCGACATGGACAAGATGGACCGAAGGGTCTGTTTCTGTGCTGTATACCTCTATGTGTGGTTTCCAAAGCTCTGAAGCAGGCTCCAGCCCGCAAAGAAGGTGTCAGCGGATATCAGTCAACACCACTCAGCAAGGGACAACTTCACACATTTGGAGGGATATAGGCCAAGTGCAGGCAGGTGGGACTAGTTCAGTTTGGGATTATGTTCGACATGGACTGGTTGGACCAAAGTGTTTGTTTCCATGCTGTATGACTCTATGACTCGATGACTCTATTATTGGGAATATACAGGAATGTAGAGTTGAGAATAACATCAGATCAGCCATGATTTTATTAAACAGCAGAGGACGCTCAAAGGGCAGAGTGACCTACACTTATTCCTCAATCGTATGATCATAAACACTTACCTTCTTTAGCACACATATCCCGTATAATCCTATGTTTTATTTCTTTCAAAGCATCATAGTTTGCTGTGTGAAAGACTCTTTCAAGTGCTCCTGCAATCTGGTGAAGTTCATTGCGTTCAGCTTTAGCCACACCAACAGCATAAACATTGACTCCCCTTTGCCTTAATCCTGCAGCAGGTCTTGAAACATCGTCCTCTGACTTTCTATTAGTGACAATGATCAGGAAGCGGCGTACTCGATTTTTACGAGTTTTATCTGCTTTGTTGAAGAGTTCCTTCATCTGTACCAATGCTTGACCCGTCTTTGAGATCGTTCCTCCGATCAATCTGATTTTTCCAATAGCTTCTTCAACTTCTTTTTTACTTGCATATTTACCGACGTCAAATTCTGTCTGTGTAGTAGATCCATACTGGACAACACCAATCCGTACTTTGTCTTTGCCAATGCGGAATATGCGTACTATATCAAGCATGAAATCTTTCATGTCTTTGAAGTCATCCGAATCTAGATTACCTGATCCATCAATCAGGAAATAGATGTCGGCTTCTTCAGTTTCTTTACAACCTGAAGAGAAAAATAAACAACGAACATGAAACATGAACCGAGTATTTTAATCTATGATCACCTCCCAGACATCTCTTTTCTAGCCTGAAAGAAATGTTTCCAAGCTTCCTTCACAATGTAGGGATTACCTCTTCTCTGCAATGCTTCCGGTTCATGAACATCGCCCATGTGCCTCTAGGATCAGGGCTGAACACCTCATTTTAAGTTCGACTACAACTACCTACAATTTTAACTCTTACTATCTTTATTGATCTGCATGGTTAGACATGGTTAGCATCAAGTTTCCATGTCTTTATTACTTCAAGCTATTTCAAAACCGTTCTTAAGTTTGTTCATTGCCTACTTTAATGCAGGTATACAATACTTTAAACTATATGTGAAATATCATCTCACATCACTCCACTATGTTACACATTATCTGAGCTGTTCCCCAAATTTACTGCTTTGTTATTGCTACTGCTACTTTGTTCTTATCTGCAAATTTCTACATTCTGCTCATTTATGCAATTTACGAGCAGCAGCAATCCCAACAGCGAGCTCCTAGCTGCCCCTCTCCAGCATAAAAGTTCTCTAACGCGTAGCTATCAGGACCAGTTTTAAAAGGGAGTTCTTCCAATGACTCACCCCAATTCTGACAGAAGGGTTGCAGAAACCACAGCCTTAAAGAAGTACCAACTTCATTTAGGCCAATTTCCGGCGGCATCACAGCCCTCAGTTATAGTCAACAATTGGAGGGTTTGTGGAAAAAGCAGGAGATTGACATTAGGCAATGAAGCTCAATTAATGAGATAGTGTGGGCACAACTGGCCAAATGGCCTCCTTCTGCACCATAACACTTCTGCAATTCTGTGATTGGAGCAAGGCCTGTCATTCACTCTGATGCTTTTTAACTCTTAGTACAGTTTATTATTTAATTCTAACGTTCACCACTATTCAACACATAGTGTTTAATACGTACAGTGTCACTACACCCTTTAGAAAATCAACTGAAAATATGTCTCTCCATCTAAAATCACCATCTACTCTGAATTCTAAACTTATTCTTCTCACCTTCGAGAAGCTGGGTTATTTTTTCAGCTTTTACTTCAGTAGTTTTGACAATTTCAATGCAAATTTTCTTCTGGAGAACGTTTTCAATCGATGTTAAATTTTCAAAATTTTCGACATGGGAAACAAAACTTTCTGGAGGATATGAGGCAATGCTTGCTAGCTGATTGAAATTCGCATTTTTAGTTCCCAAAGCGTATACTGTAACACCGAGACGGCGAAGGGCAGCAGCTGAATTCCTGACACCATCGTTGGAGTTTCCATCAGTAACCACGATTGCAATTTGAGGAATCCCTTTTGTTTCTCTGCCACTTGTTCTTGGCTGAAAGTAATTGTCTTTGAGAAAGTCAATAGCAGCTCCTGTGTTTGCACTTCCGCCCCTGTAAGGTGTATTTGCAATGTGCTTGAGAATTTCTTCCTTGTCTTGAAGTGTCATGAAGTGAATCTGTGTTCTTGGAGCATTGCTGTACTGAACCAAACCAACTCGCACTTTTTCTGAACCAATATCAAGCACCTTGATAAAATTGTATAGAAATCTGCGGATCAGTTGAAAGTTTGCTTCCCCAATTCTGCTTGATTCATCTACCAGGAAAGCAACATCAGCAACTGAAGCAGTTTGGCACACTGAAAATAAACAAGAAAACATCGTAAAAGCACAGTGTGGCTAAATTTTATGAAAGCTAAGTGCATGTTCCTGTTCTTGAACCTAGACATTTGAGAAGCAAACCCCTGCCTTAAATACAGCTCAAAGGGTATTCAGAGGCACTTGGGTGTCCTAGTAAGTGAATCACATAAAGTGAGCTCAAACATACAGTGAGTAATTAGGAATGTAAATAGGTTGTTGAACTTTATTACAGGAGAATTTGGATATAGCTTTTAAGATATGTTACTGCAATTCATTAAAGCACTGGTGGAACCCACATCTGGTGTATTAAGTGCAGTTTTGATCTCCTTAGCAATGCAAACTTATACTTTACACCTTACACAAAAAATATGAAGTGCAACAAATGCTCACCAAGCCAATTTCTAGGACGGAGGTAATGTTCTACAAAGAACAACTAAATAGATTGGGTCCATTCTCTGAAGTTTAGAAGAATGAGAGGTGATCTCATTCAAATTTGCAAAATGTTTAGAGAGCTCAAGCAGGGTAGCTGCAGAGAGGATGTTTCCCCTAGCTAATGATTCTAGGACCAAGGGACACTATCTCAGCAGAAACAGCAGACTTTTAGAACTGACAGGTGCAGGAATTTCTTCATTCGGAGGCTAGTGGCTTTTTGGAACTCTCTGCCCAGCAGGATATGCAGGCTCAATCATTGAGCATGTTCAAGATCAAGACTGGTAGATTTCCACATGTTAAAAATATCAAGGGATATGGGAAAATGCAGGAAAATGCTGTTGGGGTAGAAGATCATTCATGATCTCAATGAATGCTGGGCAGACTTAAGGGCTTAATGCTAACTCCTGCTCCCACTTCTCATGTCTACTTTTGTTGCAAAACGATTGGATTACAAGAGTAAAGAGGTGTTACTACAGTTATATGGGGCATTTGTGAGTCCACATCTGGAGCACTGAGTGCCATGTTGGTTTTCGTACCTAAAGAAAGTCATAACTGCAAAAAGGAAATCCAACAAAAATTCACTAGACAAGTTGCTGGGGTGAGGAAGTTGTCCTATGAGGAGAGATTGGACAGATTCGGCCTTTATTCCCTGGAGTGTAGCTGAATGAGACGTGGCCCCTCTGAAATATATAAAATTCCTCAGGGACTTGACAGGAGTTTTGCTTTAGTTCTCTTGAATTCCAATCGTGAAACTCTAGAAGCCAAAATGATGTGCAGCTGCAGCTCAGCTCACAGATTTTGTGAGGGTGGGAAAGTGAAAACAATACTATCAGAGCAATACTGATCAGCACACATCATTCCTTCACTGTAGTTAGTTGCAATGTACACATGCACCCAACCTCCAACAAGCTTCCAATTCCACCCATACCACCTGCAGGATCTCCTCCACAGAGTAGCAATTTACCCACTCTTCCTAAATTCCCATAGAAAAGTTTACTATTTGTTTTAATATTATTAACCTGTTGCCTTTCATACTCTAATGTTTCCCTCCTTAGTAAGATTTTTGTCATTCTTTGCTTTGTTTTATACTGTATCCAGTCATCTCACCTTTCAGTCACCTTTGCAAAATTATATGCTTTTTCTCGAAGTCTTTTGTTTTAGTTAAAACAAATTATCTTTTGTTTTAGTTAACCATGGATAGTGGGACCTCCCCTAGGAATCCCTCTTTCTTGTTAGGATATACCTATTCTGCACATTCTGAAACATCCATTTAAATGCCTTCCAAAGCATCACTGCGGATCTACTTTAAACTAATGTGGCAGTTCACCTTAGCTAGCCTTGCTTTCATGTCCTTATAATTACCGTTTCTTAAGTTTGAAATACTAGTCTTGTACATATTCTGCTTTCTCTTGAACTGATTGAGTTTTACAATCTCATTATGCTCACTGCTAACAAAGGGCTTTTTGACACAGGGTTATTAATTAATTCTATCTTATTGCACAATACCAAATCCAGTACAACTTGCTGTTTAGAAGGTTCCAGAATATGCTGTTCTAAGAAACTATCTGGAAAATATTCTACATACTTCTCATCAAGGCTGCCTTTGCCAATCTGATTTTTCTAGTAAGTTGAAATCACACATTATTACCTGTACCTTTCTGACTAGCTCAAGAGACTATTATTTAATTAATGTGTTCATATGTGCTTTGGGGTCACCCACACACCCTTTGGCTAATTGAGGCATGCATGTGTGCCAATCAAGTGGTGGTGTCCAGCACACGAGGTAAAATTTGACACTGGCAACTAGGAAAAGGCAGGAGTGCCTCTTTTGTATCTTTATTCCCATCTTTTGAAGCAAATGGAGAATTTAGATCAGAAAGTCCACAGCCTAAATTCAAAACTCTGTTTTTTGAAGAATACCAAATATATGAATAGAAGTGGAGAGGAGTCGTACTGGACTCGAAACATTAACTCTTTTTCTCTCCACAGGTGTTGCCAGACCTGCTGAGTTTCTCCAGCATTTTCTGTGTTTGTTTCAGATTTCCAGCATCTGTAATATTTTGCTTTTATACCAAGAGAAATGTTGACTGAACTTCCTGAACAGTAGACATTTAGGAAGAAGGTAATACTTAGCAGGTAGTATCTATCTCCAGGATATTGCTGTTCTGATCATTAACAGCAATGCTCTACAAATAACAGAAAAAGAAATAGCCAGTTCATCTATTTCATTTTGTCATCATTGGATAAAGAGATTCAGATGGCTAGGACACAGAAAAAATTCCTTGCTTTTCTATAAGTAATGCCATATAAGTTTTTAACTAGTGGCACAGGCACGTAGGGTCAAGATTTAACATCAACTTTGCTGAATATTATCTCTGACAATGTGGCATTGCCTCAATACTCTTCTAAAATATTAGTCTGGATTAAGAAGGCTAGCACAATTAAATAGTTTAGTCTTGCCTGATACTTTGTAAGTTTGCATGACTATAGAGACTGTGGTGACTATCACATGAGTTTACAATAAAATATAATGATAACATTCAGGAAATGGTAGGGGAACATTTTTACTCTATGGAGTTATTTTCCTTAGAGAAGTATTCAAAATGAACCATTTTGTAAGAATGGGCTATCTCAGCAAATTATAGTGCCTTTCATTATTAGACAAAATCAAAACAAAGAATCTATACCTTCCAGAATAAATTCTGATCTGACAAAAAAAGGGATGTTGAGCATTACCCGCTGGTGCTTTGAGTTCTTCATGTACAAACTCTTTCTGTGTCATTGTTTTGATTGTAGTGGACAGTCCAATGGCAGACTGCACAAGTTCATTAAAGTTGTTGACTTTTATCATAAATATGTCATTTTTTATATAGGCCATTTTTCCTAGATCGTCTCGGTCTTCTCTCCCTATACCAATGGAAATAACTTTCACACCATCCCTTTTCAAAGCTCTGGCAGCTATTTCAACATCATCTTGCGATGAAGCAGCAGTGATTATTATTGCAAACTGAGGAACTTTAGCATTCTTTCGGCTTCCAGCAGATTCAATGAAGAACTCTTTATGCATATATTCAATGGCACGTCCTGTTTTCAGTGCTGCTCCACCCTTGAAGTTATAAACTCTCCGTAAGTAACTCAACACCTCCTGTTCTGTCCGAAATCTCTCCAGTAAGAACTCTGTTCGCGCGTCCCCACTGAATTGAGCAAGTCCAATTCTGTATTTATTTACTGCCACATTCAGTTGTTCAACAACCTTCACAATGAAGTTCTGCACGTGACGAAATCCTGCTCGTCCCACATTTCGAGATCCATCAACCAGAAAGACCACATCAGAGTAAGATTCAGAAGCTGTCGATTTAAAATAATAAAGAATAAGTAAATGCAGAGGGAAACAGAATTCTGGCTTTTTTTTTAATGAAAGGCTTAATCTGAATATTACATGAGTAATTTCTTTTTTAACCAAGTGTTTCCAGAGAAAGGCACCAAAATTAGAAACCCGACTTTTAATTTGCCAAGCCGTTGTGTTCCCCTGAAGAAATCCATGTTGACTGTTTCTAAACATTCCATCTTTGTCCATGTGACTACCAATTCTATTCCAAATGATAGTTCCTAGAAGGTTCCTCACCACTGAAATGAAACTAACTGAACTGTAATTGTTGGGCTTATCCTCACAGATTTTTTTTGAATGAGGGCATAATGTCTGCAATTCCCCAGTTCTCCAGCGCCTCCCGGAGTTTTGGGAGGATTGAAAGAACGTGGCCAGTGACCCTGCAATTTTCAATCTCACTTACTTCAATATCTTTAGATGCTTCTCATCTGGTCCCAGATTTCTAAAGGGGAACATATTATATCCATGCCGATTGGTGCTGCTTTAACAGTTTTAGTTTGAATACAGCCAGACATGTAAAATGAAATCTGCAATGAATACTTGCAAGACTTTTACTTAAAATGATTTTGGAAATTCAATCCATAAATCCATACAAATTTAATCCAGTAAATTCATACCAAAAAAATCATTCAGTTCAGAATACTCAAGAGGTTGACAGGAATGCTGAATGCTCTTTTGCACTTTATATTGTTTCGATATCAGAGTGACGGCGAAGGTTTGCACATCAGCAGGTTACACTGTATCTGTCAGAATTTGTTTGAATGCTGAGGGGGTGGGAATTTAACACCAAGACCCAGATCAGGAGAGGTGGGTTAAAGGGGTACATCAAGTTGAGGAGAGGGTAGTTAGTTGGATGACAGGACTAGTTGGGAAGATAGCGAAGTCTGGCTGCAGGCATTAGTCAGGACAGTTCAGAAGTTATGAACTGAGGGACAATCAGGTTAGGTTGGGGGAATGGTGGAGTTGCATCACGTAAGGGGGCCCTGTTGAGTCGTGAAGGGTATGGGAGGTAGTGGGTATTGCTGTGTGTGCGGAAGATGGTAGAGATGCTACATCAAGTTGACACAGCTTATTAACCTTTATCTTGGGGGAGGAAATAAACACATCTGTTTAAAATTTTAAACTTTATTAAACCAACCTCCAGAATGAGAAGTGAGGAATTTACCTGCCCGTCTGGGCTTAGTGGTAGCAAATATTTGGGAGATTATGAACAGGATTGAAACCTATAGACAGCAAGTGCAATTGAAAGTGGGAACTAAGTTAATCGCCAGACAATCTTAAAACTAACAGGCTTCTTACATGAGGCAGTGTTGGAATACTAAAGAGCTAAACATTGACTGTTCACAGCTAATATATTTTTAGACCAGAGTAAGGGTAACTTTAGATAGTTTAATGTCTCTATCCCTTGAATAATTAAAGAATGTTGCTAGCCAGCAGGAGTTAGAATTCAGACCAGGAGCAAGGTAAACTGAAATTTTTAAACTTTGTAGCTAGTCGGATTTAGCACCTTAAGAAAGTGGAACGCAAGCTAGAATTAGAGGAAACACAACTAGAGCCTGCAGATTAACTTGAATTCCAATAGACATAAACAGGAAACAGAATTCCAGGGAAGAGATGGAGACAGTGAAACGCAGGAAGAGAGAGAATTCTAGGAAAGGGAAAGAGTGCAAATGTTCCAAAAGGAACCGCAGGAAAGGGAATTAAAAGTGTTTGAACTGCACAGGGACAAATTCACTGGAAAGTACCCATGGTGAGAGGACTACCTTTAGCTTGATAAGGACTGTTGGGTTATTCAAGTTTACTCATTTAGTCCCTAAAGTTGATGAGGCCTTCTTAATTTCATCTGAAAGTTTGGTAAGGCAGTTAAAGTGGCCACAAGTTAGATGAGCCTCACTTCTACAAAGATGGCAAGAAAGGTTATTTCATGTGCATGAAAACTGGAACCAGAAGCATGTGATCAGATATCTCGTAGCCTTACAAATGCCCAACCAAACATGGATTGAACTTGAATAGCTTAAGCAGCTCATTTTTGACCACTGGCTACAGGTGCTTCAACCAAGACCACTTGCATGAAACTCTGAGAAATTATGCTCCTCAAAGAGTTCAAAAAAGCATTCCGTCCCTTTATCAGACCTCATGTAAATGAACAGGCAGGCAGTGACCATGGTTGGCGAGTACAATGTAACATGGACACAAACTCTGGTAGCCTGAAGCCTGGAAACTTTCACAGGCCAGAGATGATATGTGAAAGGTAAATACCCTTGAGACAGACTGGAGGGGAAAGTGGAGCCAGTGAGAGAAACGGGAACTCTCCTTAACTTTTAAAAGGGAACCAGATGGGAGCCAGGTAGGAAATCACTGATTCCAGACTGGAAAGACAGGCCATTTACAAGGAAATCGGTTTAGGCATCCCGCAGAAAATCCATTTGCTAAGCCAGTAATGGGGCCATTAATGTCTGCTCAACCATGACTGTTGATAGGATAGCTGCCAGGAGTTTGTGTTCAAGGGAATAGTAACAATTGACTGGCCACACAGGAAGGGAAATCAGCACTGGCCGAGACACTGGGTGCTCACTGTCATTGCTAGTGGGGAAATCAAAAATGTTCTGCATGAAAGCAATTTCCGGTGTGCTGATAAAAGGCACAAAAGAGAGCTTATGGCACTATTACTGGTTTAATAGTGTTCACAGAACATGTTGTTCTGGGCCTAGGAACAATGGGCATAGCCCCAAGCTTGTCAATGTCTGGGAAAGATGTTTTATTGTGGATTGACCTTAGGGTATAACCCATACTCTAAAAAAGTAAAGGATATATAATCCAGAGAGGCTAAAAAAATTAGTGAAGACCAACAGAAATCCACTAACGTTCCAGTGAAAGGATCTTTAAATTAAAAACTTTAAATTAAAAGTTAAAAATAGTTTCAAAATTAATGAACCAGCATATAATTGCACAGTGTGTAAAGAAGGATCACTGGATCCAAATAATTAACTCTGCTTTCTCTCCACAGATGCTGCCAGACCTGATTCTGAGTTTCTCCAACCATTTCTGCTTTTGTAATTGAACAAAGATGGGCACAGGCCAGAAGGACAGAACATAAAATAAGGCAGAAAGTTTAATAAGGAGCGAAAATTACAAGAAAATTAGCTAGAGGTTTGAGAACGGGCAGTAAGAGTTTCTGTGGATATTTTAAAAGCAAAAAGTTAATAAAGAAAATGTTGGTCTGATAACAGATGAATCTGGAGAATAAATAATGGAAAATAAGAAAAAGGCAGATTAACTGTACAAGTATCTTAGATTGATCTTCACTATTGAGTAGTAATATCCCAGAAACAATTATAAATTTGGAGATAGAAAAGAGGGAAATAGAAAAGAGGAACTCAGGAAAATTATTATTACCAATGAAATGGTATTAAATAAATTATTGGAGCTGCAGCTGGCAAGTTTCTCGATCCTGATGGACTTCATCTAAGGTCTTAAAATTGGTTTTGATTTTCTAAGGCTCCCTTAATTTGGGGAAGGTCTATTAGATTCAAACATAGCAAAAAAGGGGAGAAAACAGAAAGCAGGAAACTGCAGGCCAGTAAATTTAACATCTGTCATCAGGAAAATATTAGAAGCCACTTTAATGAAATTACAGCAGGGCACTTAGAGGAATTCAACGTAATCAACATGGTTTTGTTAAAGGGAAATCATGTTTAATCAATCTATTGGAATTCTTTGAGGAATCAACACAAGCTATGAATAAAGAGGAACTGATGGACGTGTTGTGCCAAGATTACCAGAAGGCATTTTTAAAAGTGCCACATCAAAGATTATTTCAGAAATTGAAAGCTCATGATGAAGAGAATATTACATTGAGATGGATGGAAACAGAGTGAACACATATGCATCTTTAGCAACAGGCAACATATAACGTAGGATGTTCCACAGGGATCAGTTCTGGAATATTGACAATTTAGAATGTATATAAATAGCTTGGCAAAAGTGATGGAAGGTACAGTTGCAATTTTGCTGATGACACAGAGGCAGACGGAAAAGTAATTAAGAGCATATAAGCATGTTGCAGAGGAATGTAGATTGATTAAATGAGTGAGAAAATATCCGGTAAATGAAGTATGATGTGAGAGAATATGAAATTGTTTATTTTGGTGGGAAGAATATAAAGGATGCATAATCTTTAAATGGTGAGAAATTGAAGAATTCTGAGATGCAGAGATATCTGGGCGTTCTGGTGCATGAATCGCAAAAGACTAATATTCAAGAACAGCAACTAATTAGAAAATCAAATAGAATATCATCATTTATTGCAATGATAATTCAATATTAAATTAGGGAGTTATGCTTCCATTATACAGGGCACTGGTAAAACCACATCTGGAATACTGCGCAATGAAAGTTATTCAGAGAAGGTTTATGTGGCCACTGGAATGAGTGGGTTGTCTAATGTGGAAAGGTGAGTCAAACTAGACTCGTAGGCTTGTGGATAGACAGATTTTTAATCTGTAAGGGAATCGACGGTTGTAGGGAAAGGAAAGAAATTGCAGTTAAGTGTTATCAGATCACAAACGACCTCATTGACTGCCAGAAGAGATTCGATGGGCTGAGTAGCCTACTTCTGCTCCAACATCTTATGAACCTGCTGGAATTTAAAAGAGTAAGTCGCAAAGTGATTACAATATAGGAGACCATGAGGGGTCTTCACAGATTAGATGTGAAAAGTTATTTCCTTTTATCGGACCCAAGAACTAAGCCTCACTGTTTAGGAATTGGGCTGTCGTCGCCCATTTAACACACAGATGAGGGAATTTATTTCTTCTCAGAGGGTCATGAGAGTTTTAGGAACTCTCTTCCCGAAAAGGTGATGGAAACTGAGTCCTTAAACATTTTTAAGGCAGATGTGGATAGGTTTTGGTTATCTCAGACTCCCTTGCTTATCAGGGATTGGCAGGAATACAGAGAT